GAACCATGCAATTACTCCTTGCCCCATTCGGGCCAGAAAAGTCCAAGTACCGGGAAATAGAAATTCAGCCAGGTTTTACAAAATCAGAACAGGTATGCCATGGCATAATTTCAGGAGAAGCAGATCCTAACCCCAGATTTTTGATATTAAAAGTCAATTTTTTGATCCTCAACTCGGCCCGGAGAGGACTATCAAAAGCCAGAGGGACTGTGTTCGATGAATGGACTGTAAGAGTTTACGCTTTTTAGTCTCCTAGGTAGTGATCATGATGATTGCATTCAGCAAGAAACTCGGAGTTGCGTCCAACTCTGCAAACCTCCCTTATGCCTTTGGCGAGTAATTGTACCCTTGGAGGAAATATTTTGAGTGTTTAGTTTTTGGAAGTGACGAGACTGTTCTGGTATTTGCAAAATTGAATATTCATACGCAGTTGACATGGAACAATGATTACAGTAGACATCTATTAAGTGTTCCTATTACACATGACCTTCCTTGCCTCGGGCATGGGTGTGTTGTTCCATACTGAAGAATATCACGATGCGAAGGACCTTCGGTACTACGGGTACTTTTCTGCAGACCAAGGGGTATGCCTGAGCAGAGTTCTACTTTGTTTTCACAGAGATGTACGCAATAATCAGCTTGTTGACCTTCCTGCAGGACTGTTTCAAGCCAACACCAAATTACTAGACCTGTAAGTTATCACATTATAATTATTAGATGGATCGCAAAGAGACTTTCTTGCATGGATCACGTTATTTTGAGATACTTTAAAGTAAGAGAGTTTCACTAGAGATTAAAGTTTAAGAAAGGACCATTAAGGAGGCTCCAACCCTTTGGGGGTGATTTTTTTCTTCATAAACCCCCTCCTTTTAGTGGATGAGTGTGCTCTGTATCATCCCATGTTATTTCACAAAAAAATTCAGGGGTGTTTCCGCGGAGTATTTATCGATTTCGGCCTAAATTTGCTTGCTTTGGGGTTATATTTCAGATTTACCAGTTGTCTGGCTTCTCTTTGTGATTGCAAGTCCGTTCACACATCACAATGAAGCATTTGAGCAAGAAAATCTAGCAAGCAGAATTGACTACTCAGAAAAATAGTAATTTTGGTACAAAAATGAACTTAGCAGAAATGCCCGTCCGCAAAGTACAATTGGGTGAACACCTTCATAATTTCTTCATAGACATGCCCTTCTTATTTTATTTTTTAGATCCTCATACTTCATAGAACCTAGAAATATGTAAATTTAGGGGGGTTACCGTGCATTCAAGACCTCCAAAAATACAAATAGGACAGCAAAATGGCCGATTTTCCACCATTCTTGGAATTGCTATTTTTTAGGTTAGGTTATTCCATGCATTATTACAGGGTGCGACAGAGCTCTCGGCCATTGAAGAAAATGTTGAGTCACCTCCACCATTACACTGCGCTCTTTAGCCGACTAGACCCTCCTGCACACAACCATCACCATTGCGAGGACACTTCCGTAGACGATATTGATAAACTCCTTGAGACAGCTGTTTCGATAATACTTAGCTCATCAGTGAAGGTAGATGTTGAATGATTAAAAATATTGACCAAACTGCTATTATATATGGGGTTTCCACATACAAAACTGTCATAGCTGAGGTCATAAGGCGGGAAAAGGAAAGTGTGAAGTACTGCAAAACTAGTACACAGACTCTCACTAGCTACATAGTACTCTGATTCTGGCACGTTATTTCTGCATTGAATAGTGATTGATTTTCCGCGCCGAATTTCCGACGCTGCATGCATGTCCAATGCGCGTCAACAGTATTTCACACTTTCCTTTTCCCAAGTTTGACTTGCGATGTATAATAAAAGCAATAGAATACAATACAACGTTATTCATGATCCAGGCCGAGGCCTACTGACCCTGAACGCAGTTCAGACCAGCTTTGCATCACAACTCTTGCAATAGTTCACTCCTAGTATTAGTATAGGCAAAAAAGTATAGCTCTCCCCTTTGGTATTTTGTTGTGTGTTTGTGTGTTTGTGTCACGCCTGGAGCTATCCCGTATCTGTCCCGTACCGTACCATCAAACACAGCTGGCCACATACAGCTGGCCGCAGGATTCAAATCGGGCTTTCAAACGCAAGATCATAACGTGAAGCAACTTGGAAGAATGAGTATGAATGCGAAGTGTGGGGGGAATGCATGTGGGGCGATAGTGCGGGTTCGAATCCCAGGTAATGCCTTAAAAAATAGGAGAATTGAAAAATTTAGAACATCCCTTTTCTTTTTTTGCCGTCAACAAGGCAGTAGACGGTGTCGTATTAACCTCGACCGTACCTGTCCCGTGCCTGTCCCGTACCTGTCCCGTACCTATCCCGTAACATACATTCAAACACGGCTGGCCACAATGCATATTCAAATAGGGCTTTCAAATACAAGATCATAACGTGAAGCAACTTGGAAGAATTATTATGTATGCGAATTGTATCGGGGATGCATGCAGGGCTATAGTGCGGGTTCGAATTCCAGGTTATGTCTAAAAACAAAAAAATAGAAACTTATAAGAATTTATAACATCCCTATGCTTTTTTTGTCTAGGTCATCAAGGCAAAAAAAGCATAGCGTAGGGCCCTGAGCTTCCAAGTTCTCTCGTATTTTAAATGCCTATAACTTCGGTATGAACGGCCACATCCCACCGGTATTTTACAAGCACAAACCCATATCATAGCCCAAACATATAACATTTTAAAATTGATGATATGTGGTTATACAAGTAGGTATAGTTTTCAAACATAAATTGCTTCCGATATACACTAAATTGGCTCAGTATTGAGGGTCGGTCGCACATTGGAGAATAGATATACGTCCAAAATCAATATTGTTCTGGGTTCATATAGGAACAATGAATCGTAAAACAGAAAATGGATCGCTCTGAAGTATTGCTCTCCACACTGCAGGTCGTGTTTACATGTATCTCCCTTTAATTGTATAATGACTGACTCACAACTGCCACCCAGACCACAAGAGACGTGCTTCAAGCCTTGCACTCGGCTAAGCTGCAAGACAGCACCACTCCCCGCTCAATACACCGTGTTTCTAGGAATTCACCCCTCATCAGTTGAGCTTTACTAGGCCAAGTTGAGCCTGGTGAGCACCACTTACATAGAGCTCCCCACTCTCACCAGTAATACAAACTGATACAGTAATTTCGCGAGCAATGCTCTAACCAGCTGAGCTACAAAAATGATTTCCATCTACGGTGTTGGAAAATGTATCATTCTCCTATCAATCAATACTTGGGTTGAATCATACTGGCGAATTACACCATTCTAAGGCTGGCCGTGTTGAGTTTCGGAGAGAAAAGAGCAGCATGACTCAGTCAGCCTGTTTTCAATCCTGTTTGTTCTTGTCTGTATTTCACCCGAGGGAAGGGCACGAAAGATTACTTGTGGGAAATGTCAGAAGTCAGTGTCGATGCCAATCGCTCGACAGGTTGGCACCAGTGTAAACCTTCTTGTCACTGCAGGATGTAGGATTGCCCGCATCAATTCTTTTAAACTCGATGAAAGTGTCAATCTCAAATGACTCGTCGCTGTGGTCGTCATGGTCTTACTTCTGTTTCCGATGCAAATCCACAAAATATTTCATCCTCCGTATGGAGCGCGAGGATGTTGTCTTCTTCTGCTCCGCAGTACAGTAGGCTGTTCCCTCTATACATCGAAGAAGATCTGTTTGAGAGACTCAGCACACTATGGCATACAAACTCAAACAAATACCGCTAGACTTATTTGCAAAAATGAATTGCATCCAGAATTGTCAATTGTCCAGTTGACTGAGCTCGGAGAACAAGAACAGCAACTGACTCACAACTGCCACCCAGACCACAAGAGACGTGCTTCAAGCCTTGCACTCGGCTAAGCTGCAAGACAGCACCACTCCCCGCTCAATACACCGTGTTTCTAGGAATTCACCCCTCATCAGTTGAGCTTTACTAGGCCAAGTTGAGCCTGGTGAGCACCACTTACATAGAGCTCCCCACTCTCACCAGTAATACAAACTGATACAGTAATTTCGCGAGCAATGCTCTAACCAGCTGAGCTACAAAAATGATTTCCATCTACGGTGTTGGAAAATGTATCATTCTCCTATCAATCAATACTTGGGTTGAATCATACTGGCGAATTACGCCATTCTAAGGCTGGCCGTGTTGAGTTTCGGAGAGAAAAGAGCAGCATGACTCAGTCAGCCTGTTTTCAATCCTGTTTGTTCTTGTCTGTATTTCACCCGAGGGAAGGGCACGAAAGATTACTTGTGGGAAATGTCAGAAGTCAGTGTCGATGCCAATCGCTCGACAGGTTGGCACCAGTGTAAACCTTCTTGTCACTGCAGGATGTAGGATTGCCCGCATCAATTCTTTTAAACTCGATGAAAGTGTCAATCTCAAATGACTCGTCGCTGTGGTCGTCATGGTCTTACTTCTGTTTCCGATGCAAATCCACAAAATATTTCATCCTCCGTATGGAGCGCGAGGATGTTGTCTTCTTCTGCTCCGCAGTACAGTAGGCTGTTCCCTCTATACATCGAAGAAGATCTGTTTGAGAGACTCAGCACACTATGGCATACAAACTCAAACAAATACCGCTAGACTTATTTGCAAAAATGAATTGCATCCAGAATTGTCAATTGTCCAGTTGACTGAGCTCGGAGAACAAGAACAGCAACTGGCGTTGCAAAACACATTGTATTTTTTTGCCACGGAATTCAAATTGCGATTTTCTCGACTTTTCCAAAATATCTGTGGTCATGTTTTAGCGCGCTCTGGCTCACTTTAAGATCTACATATCCAGGCCAGAAAAGTATATTCGGAGTTTCGGCCTTTCATTTCTGTACCTGCTTCTGTATCTTCATCGAGATGTTGGAATGGGAATGAAGAGGGGAGTGGTGTTTAGGAATAAGCTAGTACTAGTGTAGGCTATTCAAGTCACAGAACAGTAAATGTATTTCTGTATCCCTACTCTCTTCAGGGATTTGTCAAACAATATAATTCGGCGCTTACCTGTTGGACTGTTTCAAACCACGACGGGATTGTATGATTTGTAAGTGATCCAGCTCTCACTGTGAGAGTGTTGCACACAACCCTAGTCCCCCGTCTACACCCAGCCACACAGAAAAAACCCACATACAAAACATCTTTGATGTCCGGATGTTCACTGACATCTCTCTTATCCAGGCAGTTAGGGGCGCTATCCAGTTTACAGCGACGAATGAACTGAGATAGGATGGATCTTGTAACCGTTTGAAGGTATTCTTGGAAAAGACAATGCTTGCTCAAGGCAACACAACTGATATAGGGCACTTCGTGCCCTAAGGTGATAACGCGCGTGCTGACAGGATAGGGAAAGGTGCAAGATACAGAGCTAGAGGGCAGATAAGGTTAGCGCTAACAGGGAACTGTTACACCATCCCTCCCTCCTAAGCGAGGCACATGTGCCTCCAGGGAGTCGAGGAATATGTGGAAAGGGAATAATCAAAATGAAATCGTGTCAACCCAACAACGCTCATCTAATTGAAGCACCGTGCAAGGTAACCAAGGACAGTCAGGCGAGTGAAGATAACGGAAATGGGGAAAATCTAAAACAGGAGGGGAATGGATTGCTTAACACAACAAGGATCAAGTGGGAATTCTCAAGGTACACGTGCAATTGAATTTGAGCGAGTAACATTTCGCTGTAACCATAGTGTCACTAACATGCCCTGGACGCCCTGTAACGCCTCAGAGCAACTATCCGCCCACCGGCCTCGTCCAGCAAGTTCTCTTCTGGCTCCCAGGTCGCTTCGTCGTCTGGGTATCCTTGCCACTTGACAAGGTACTGAGTCTGATGCCTTCGCTGGCGATCGTCAAGAATCTTCTCCACCATGTATCTGGTCTGACCGTGCAAGTCAGTGAACGGTGGCGGGGGTGGCTGCCGCCTGCCGGGAATAGTATTCTGCTCATACCGGCGCAGAGCAGCGACATTGAAGACAGGGTGGCACCGAATAGCGCTGGGTAGATCCAGCTGATAGGCGTTGGGTCCGATCTTCTTGATGATTGGGTAGGGCCCGAACCACTTAGGGCGTAGCTTCTGTGAAGGCTGATCCCGGGCTTCTGCGGTTGTTAGGAAATCCTTGTACACGAGCACCATGTCGCCAACCTTCAGGTTGCTGGGCACCCTTCCACTGTCTGCATACTGAGCTTGTCTAGCCTGAGCGGCAATCATGGCGTCCTTTGCCAACTTGACGGCATCCGCCCGATCCTGGATCCAGTCTGGGGCACTCCCTCCTCCCCTCCGTGCCAGGAAATCTGGTGGGGACTTGGGATTAAGTCCATAATTTAGATAAAACGGCGTGCTAGAAGTGGAAGACTGATATGAACTATTAATTGCAAATTCGCAAAGAGGCAGAAGCTTGTCCCAATTATCTTGTTTGTGGTTAACAAACGCTCTAAGCACATCCTCAATCACTCTATTCATTCTCTCAGTCTGCCCATCGGTCTGTGGGTGATTGGCAGTACTAAACGACAAGGTGGTACCTAATTGATGAAACAATTCCCGGAAAAATTCAGAAGTAAATCTTGGGTCCTGATCACAAACAATAGTGGAACTCAAACCGTGTAATCTAAACATATTCTGGAGATACAAATCAGCAGAACCCTTAGCGTCAATTTTGGAAGTCGTGGGGACTAAATGGACACATTTTGTAAGCTGGTCAACAAATGTATAAATTGCATCAAAGCCCTGAGGGGTCTGGGGTAAGCCAACGATAAAGTCCATGGAAATAACTTTCCAGGGGTGTCTGGTACTGGGAGCGATTGCAGCAAACCGGATCTAGGCAACCCACCCTTAGTGCGCTGACATATGCCGCAAGAGTTAACAAATTTCTTCACGTCAAGGCCCATCTTGGGCCAGTAGAAGAATTGACGAAGCCGGAAATATGTACGATCCCGTCCCTGATGGCCTGCCGTAACACAGTCGTGGTACTCCTGCAGGAGCTGAAGCCTTACTGCACACCTGGGTACACACAAGCGATTGTTTGGTGCTGCACGGAGGTATAGGTACCTGGACTCTTCATCCCAATAGTACCTCTCGTGTAGATTATCAGAGGAATCGCCGCGCAGCCGCTGAATTATTGGGGAAAGCTGCTCGTCATTCTGATATGCTTCCGAAATCATCTCAGCAACCCTATCACTCAGTTCCAAAGCAAACTCAATCGTATTCAAATGGGGTGCTGGTAGGATGGGTGGGCAATCCTTTTCCTCAACTACATTGCCAATTGCTGACCCACGCAGATCAGGGCGGCGGGATAACGCATCAGCCATATTTTCCTTGCCGGGTTTGTGATTAACTGTGAAGTCATAGTCTGCAAGAAATTCAACCCATCTAGCTTCGCGCTTAGTGAGATTGGCTTTTGTGCTCAAGTAGACTACGGCCATGCTGTCACTGAACACTTCAAAATGCTGGAATAGATAAAATTCTCCAGGATCGCAGTGCAAACACCACCGCCAGGGTTTCGCGTTCTGCAGCAGTGTAATTTCGCTCCGCTTGTGACAGCTTACGACTGGCATATGCCACAGGATGCCAAGCACTATCGCTTTCCCCCTGTTGGAGAAGGACGCCTGCTATTGCAAAATCACTTGCGTCTGTTGCAACTCTGAAAGGCTTCTGCACGTTTGCTAGTTTCAACAGCGGTGCACTCAACAAGGCCTGTCTCAGGGATTCGAATGCATGCTGACGGGGGCCACTCCATTCGAACCTGGCATGTTTGCCAGTGATCTCCTCTAATGGCCACGATATAGTAGAGTAGTGCTCAATACATCTTCTAAAGTAGTTCGCAAAACCAAGGAACTGTCTCACCTCCGTAACTGTCGTCGGTGGCTGCCATTCCCTCGCTGCTTTAAGCTTCTTTGGATCTGGAGCGATACATTCACCGTCGATGCGATGCCCTAGAAACAGAACATCCTTGACACCAAACTCACATTTCGACTGCTTACAGAATAGCCAATTTTTCCGGAGCGTCTCAAGAACTGTCTGGATATGTTCAAGATGATCTTGCCAGGATTTGCTGAAGATAAGAATATCATCCAGAAACACTACCACAAACCGCCGTAAGTACGGTTGGAGAATACTGTTCATCAATGACTGAAACGTGGCAGGGGCGTTAGTTAATCCAAAGCCCATAACCCGGAACTGGAAACGACCGAAGGGAGTATTGATAGCCGTCTTAGGTACATCTTCCTGACGGATCCTAAGCTGATTATATCCCGAGCGTAAATCCACCTTACTGAAGTATGAGCTACCTTGAATGGTATCAAACAGGTCATCAATGTTTGGGAGGCAAGCTTTGTTTTTGATGGTGATCCTGTTCAAATTCCGCCAATCACAAACCATGCGCAATGAGCCATCGGACTTTTTAACGAAAAAGACTGGGGCACCGTATGGTGACTTGCTGGGTTCGATGAAGCCCTTGCGGAGGAGTTCCGTGAGCTGGGCTTGCAATTCGTCCATCTCGGGTTTGGGGAGACGGTAGGCAGCCCGTGATGGAGGAAGCAGCTGCACAGGGCTTTCGTGGACAACCCAAGCATCACAGTCATTGGCGATTTTAACGTTAATGTTTCAACCCCCTACCCACCTTGTCCTATCGCCCGGAAATTTCTCGAACTTTGCAACTGCTACGGCCTCACTAATCACGCTCATGCTCCGACTCGTATCTCATCGGCGTGCCCATCAGGTACAACTATCGATCTCATTCTTTCAGCTAGTCAAGACATCAGTGAGTGCCACGTCCTGCCTTTGACCATTAGCGACCACTTTGGGATTGAGGCTAACCTGCACCTTCAGGTTTCTCGCAGCGTGTCAACTCAGGCAGTAGAGCGGGTCCGAGCTCAGAGAAATACTCGGTCGGTGAACCTCTGTGAATTTCGTCGGGATGTCAGCTCCGCAGGGCTGGATGATTTTACTAACACGCGGGATGTGGACACCATGTGGGCGTCGTGGCATACCAAGTTCTTGGCTGTCGTGGACAAGCATGCACCCATCCGCTATGTATCCTCCAACCGCAAATCCCATCCGCCCTGGTCCGACAGAGAGCTCCACAAGCTCAACCAACGTAAAAACCAGCTACACCGACGGTGGCTACGCGATAAGGGAAACCAGAATCTTCACGTACAGTTCAAGCAAGCACGCTCAAGCGCCAGAAATGCCTATCGCCGAAAGCGCAATGATTTCTTCCGAGCGCAATGTGCCGCGTCCAGTCAGAACCCGCGTAAGCTCTGGAACGTCATAAACTCCGTTACGAACAGGAAGAGAGTACGTGTGGAGCCTACTTGCCCCATTGAAGAAGTTTCGTCAGTCTTCCAGGCAGTAGTAACAGACAATGCCCGTCCTCACAGCATCCCGCTACCGCAAGGTCCACAGCCTCAGACTGCAATGTCAGAATTGCCCCAAGTGTCTTTTGGCGAAGTAGAACGGCTTCTCCGACAAATCAATCCTGCCAAAGCAACAGGAAGCGACGGGATGCCTGGTCACCTTCTGAAGTGCTGTGCCGATATCCTAGCTGCGTCCGTGGCCACGTTGTTTAATGCCTCGCTTGTCAATGGCACTGTCCCCACAGCCTTCAAACTCGCACACGTTATCCCGCTGTTCAAAGCCGGGGACCCGTCTATTCCCACTAACTTCCGTCCAGTGTCCCTACTTCCCATATTATCAAAACTCTTGGAGAAAGTCGTACAAAAGAAGCTAGCCCAGTTTCTGGACATATCTGGTACCCTCCCCACGACTCAGTTTGCATTCCGCGCAGGCCACTCAACGGAGGATGCCCTGGTACTTATGCTAAATCGTATTCTTAGTGCACGGGACAAGCGTTTGTGTACTGGCATATGCCTTCTAGATATGTCAAAGGCATTCGACAAGGTTCGTCATGAACGGCTACTCCAGGACCTATTCGATATCGGCATAACAGGGACAGCCCTAAAGTGGTTTTCCGCCTATCTGTCGGGCCGTACTCAGCGTATCTGTATTGGACGGGATCAGAGTGCCATTTCTGCACCATCCTGTGGCGTGCC